CCCTGCGCCCTGCCCGCTGGAGGCGGGAGCGGCGCGGCCCGCGGCCCTGACCGCGACGTGCAGGCCTGGTGCAGGGAAGCCGGGCAGCAGCTGGAGGCGCCAGACCCCGCTGTCTGGTGGGAATGGGCCAGGGCCAGCCCTGGTGCACCCCGACGCGGCCCGGGGTAGTGAATAAGGGGCGCGAGGCTCGAGATTTGGGGGGACATGCCTGCAGCAGCTGCCGCGCTCGGGCGCCGGCAGGGCAGCCGGGTCGAGGGCCAGCCTCAGCCCTGAGTGGCCACCGGACACGCTCTTGTCCACAGGCTGCCCAACTTGCCTGCCTGCGGCACCCCAGCGCTGTGTGCACCAATGCCGGGGCAAGTCTACCTCAGGCCTCCGCTTTAGGAGACTGATGACCAAGGTCCCGGGGCGGCGCTGCCGCGGCCAGCTCAGCTCCAGCCAGAAGTCCCACGCCCCAGCAGGAGCCCTCAAAGGCGGCTGCGTCCAACCCAGGGGAGGCCAACAGGCAAGCAGTCTGGGCAGGCCCCGCCCGCTGTACTCGGAGAGGCGGGCACACTGGCAGGAGGCTGGCACACCCGCCGCACAGCCCAGTGTCGGCAACCCAGGGGAGCCCCGCTGACCCAGGCTGAACAGTGCGGGGACCGGGATGCCCAGAGGCCACAGGGACCACAGCTGGTGTCTGGCACTTCCTGCCGCCAGGCCGCCCCCCCACCTCAGCCTCACCCCCCCCCCCCCCCCCCAGATGGGCTCTCAAGCTCTCTGGGTCTTGCTCCAGACCGAGTTTGACCCAACATGTGAACAACAGCCCCCCCACCCTGAGGACTATGACAGTCCCTCTGGGCCAGGCGGCCAGGAGAAAAGACAAGGCAGAGGCAGGTTTGAGAAGGTGAGCTTTAAGACCCCTCCACTTCCATGCCCCCCCCCTGGGCCCCGGAGGCCTGCAGGCCATCACTTCTTGGTCCAAAACCGCTTGTACCGCTCCGCGTCAAAGTCATCACCCAGCACCGGCTCCTCCTCCTTCACTCGCAGCTGGGCCTCGCGTTTCCGGAACCTCGCCCGCCGCTCTTCTGGGGACAGGCTGTCCAGGTCCACAGGCATCTGCAGGCAGGGAGTGATGCCCATAGCTAGGTGGGGAGGCATTTGGAGGGTGTGGGCAGCGGCCAGGAGAGCCCTTCTCTCCAGTCGCCGTGTGTCTCCAGCTGCTGGCCTCGTTTTTAGAAGGGCTTGATTCAATCTCAGGCACGGTCTGGGCAGTGTGCGCGGGCACCCTCCCAGCCACCCTGCCCTGTCCCCACAGTCCGGCCCTGCACCCAGGGAGGGCCCTGGGAAGGGAGCTCACCGCTAGCATCCTTCGCGGCTCTCGGTAGCGGATGTGGATGGTGGATCCGTCCTGCCTGACCAGGAGCACAGGGTAGAGGCGTGCGTAGTTCTGCCGGTGCAGGCGTGTGAGCGAGGCTCGGCTGCTGGCGGCCCGCCAGGAGGATGCACACAGGCAGCGGCCCGTCAGCACACACTGGCGCAGCAGGCTGCAGATGCATGCGCACAGGTCAGTGGCCAGTGCTGGGCCAGAGTTGCCACGTGGCCCAGTCAGGCTGGCCCTGTGGGACGGGGGTGGCTGTGCAGGGGCAGGGCATGGCCAGAGCGCCCATCCTCTCCAGGTAGGCGCTGCCAGGAGCAGCTCATACGGTTCCCAGCAGCTTGGAAGGCAGGGGGGCGGCCAGGCCCAGCATGGCCCAGCACGGCCAGCTCTGGTGAGGCACGGCCGCCCCGCATGCGTACTGGCTTCCCTACGGGGCCAGGGGCTGACTTCCGGTGGGACAGCCATTACTACCGACTCCACATCTGTCCCCACCCAAATTGGCTACCAGGAGGTGATGTCAGGAGGCATGGCCTGGGGGAGGCGGTGAGAGTTAAAGGAGGTCCTGAATGCCTGCGACTCCCCTCCGTTGGAGGCCGGGGAAGGGGCCCCAGGTGGCTGAAGCCAGCCCTAGGAGATGACAGCAAAGCGGGCCAGGACTTCCCCAGGGCAAGGACCGCCCAGGGAGCACCACATCGCTCTCCACATCCATGCCCACACCAGCTCCAGGGGCCCGTCCTTCTCCCCGAATGCCACAGAACCGAAAACTTGCACCCATTCTCCCCAACAGCAGAAGGTCTCATTTCGGGGAGGCCGGGAAAGGGAATGGCAGGTGGCAAGGCGGCAGGGTGGAAAGCAGGAGGGAGCTAGGGGCGCTGCCGGCTCCACACGGGCCACATCATCTGAGTGGCTGGGCTTCCCTGCTGCCTCGAGGGCCCGCTCAGGCGTGTGGACACAGGCGCGTCCTTCAGGGCCCAGTGTGTTCTCCAGGTGGAGGCGCACACAGGAGCGGCGCCGAGGTGGCAGTCGGGCTGCGGGACGGCACCCCGGGAGGGCCCCAGCCTGGAACCCAGACTCACCGGGGCAGGCTGCCCACGGACGCCATTCTCCCCGAGAAGCGCGGCGCGGTGTGCGCCGAGGGTCAGCCGCCAGGCCTGGCTGCAGCCCTGTGGGCAAAGCGACGAAAGCTCAGATTAACCTCAAGTCCCGGCCGGGAACTGGCTGCGGGCGCGTCCCGGCAGGTGGCCGCCGGCCTC